AATTATAAAAATTTTAAATTAAAAATATATTTAGAAATAATTGAAATTTAAAAAATTAATTGGAAGAATTGCACTCAAGGCCTCAAAAGCAAAAAAATTGCAAATAAGACTCAATGGAATATAGAATTATTCTAAGGGTCCAAAATCCTTATTTGCAATTGTGTTTTTTTTTTAAATGATCCATTGCTTCTCCCAAAATCTACCAATGTATACATTTTACTCTCTGATCTCTTCTTCTTCCTCTCTTCTTTCTCTCTCTTCCTCTTCCTCTTTCTTCTTCCTTATTCTTCCTTCTCTCCCTTTGGCTGAAATCATCATCTTTGAAGTCTTGGGTGTGGTGTATTCACCATATCCTTAAGCTTTCACCTTATTCATAGAATTGCAAGAGATGAGTTTGGAAAAGTCAATCGTGGGAATCTTCTAAACATCAAAGGTGCTCAAAATTGGGAAGAATAAAGTTCAAATGATTGGATTCAACAAACTCTTTTATAGTAGGCATCGTTCCCATTGTCTTGCAATTCTTTTTCTAGGGGTCAAAAAAACCAAAATTAAAAAAGTGCAAATGGATTGAAGAAACCTTACATCATGTTGAATATATTGATTCATGTTGAACCTATAATTTGTATTTTGCATGTGTAAATTCTTTAAATCTGAATCCGTCCAAGAGTCTAAATGGACTTTGTGTTGTAAAGGCTATAATGTAGTGTTGTGAAAACAAAAAAGTTGTTTTATTAATGCATATATTCAACTATATTAAATATATATATATATATATATATAATGGTGGGATTTCTCTCTAGACATTGTAGTTGCAATTTAGTTGAATGTAATATTTGTTTACTAAACTCTTAGTTGGCAATGGATTATTTGTTGTGAAATCATGATGATTTATTTATTTAAATTGGATGTTCACATGTGAATTGGGGAATTCATGACTTGTCCATGATCATGAAAATACACTATCAAAAACACTGAATTACATGATGTGAAAACATGAATGTTGTTTTATTTATATTGAATATTCAGTTATAAAAAATAAAAGTTAAGTTTACGTATTTAGACACTTACTTGTAAATATTTGAAGCTAGGTTTGTCAATATGTGAACCTCTTGCTATTAGTATGTAAATTTGCAGTTGATAAAATTTGAGTAATTATTTTATGTGATTTAATGGTTATTTACATTGATTGCATTACTAATTTTTGGAAGTATATAAAATGCTTAACAAGAAATAGTTGAAAAGAATTTCTCTTTTTATGAGATGGTATGGGTTTAGGAGAGAATTAATATTGGACAAGAATAAAAGACTGTGCCAGAAATTGATAGACTTAAATGATGTGTCAACTAAAAATTAGAAAAAGATGAGTAAAGGTGAGAGGGAGCCTTATAGCGGCTATCAAAGGAAAAAAAAGACAATAGGATGATCTAACTAATAGAAACATCAAAAATGTAAATGTAATTAGAATTAGATGTAAATGTTATTGTTATTTCAATGAAAACATCTTATTATTTACAAAGTTTATATTGTATAAATATTACAGATGTGCAAATGTTTAGGTGTACCACATAAATATATATTGTATTGTTAATAAATAAACCTTATTATGTCATGTATAAACTTTCTATTGTTCAAAAACCTAAAAAACTTGTACAAATGTTTAACTTAAGCATATGGATCATGTGAGATAAATGGACATTATTTGGTTAATAAATTAACATTATCATACTATATATGAACGTTCTATTGTTCAGAAATTTGAAAAACTTTTACAAATGTTCAACTTAACTCCACAAATTATGTGAAATAAATGAATATTGTATTGTTAATAAATAAACATTGTCATGTTATTTGTTGTTCAAAAACTTGATAAACTTGTACAAATAGTTAACTCAACTACACGAATCATGTGAAATAAATAAATATTATGTTGTTAATAAATGCACATTGTCATGTTATATATAAATTTTCTATTGTTCAAAAATTTGAAAAACTTGTACAAATGTTCAACTTAATCACATGAACTATGTGCAATAAGCGGAGATTATGTTATTAATAAATGGATATTGTCATGTCATATACGAACTTTTTATTATTGATAAACCTAAAAAACTTGTACAAATGTTCATTGTAAATAATTTTATTTACATCACAACAAATGCCCTCTAAACATGCATTACAATGGTTGTCATGCATCCATTTATAAAAAACCAATTCTACATACAAAAAATCAATTTAAGATAGTACAGACACAATCCTAGAATTACATTAATTACATTCCAATGCTTCATTTTGTCATTTTTGTTTTTCTCTGGTTCCTGTTGTAAGTGTAAAGGCACTCTCGACTTTAACATTATTGGGATGCTCTATTAACTATCACAAAATGACATACTTAAACCATTTTATACTCCTGCACAAATTGAAAAGGTTTAGAAATTTACGAGCAAAAGTCTTAATTTTCACGATTACAGGTTTAGATATTTACAAGTGAAAGTCTATATCTTGACAAGCAAAGATCTAGAGTTAACATGTTGTTAAAGTTTACAAATTCATAACTAAATGTCTGAATATTTACATGTATATGTTCAACTATTCATAAATCAAAATTCAAAATTTTTGACTTCAGATATTCATAACTCAGTAATAGAAAGTTTTAATTTTTACAAATACATGTTCATAAATTCACTGCATTATGTTCACATATTAACAAGTGATTATTTATTTTTTGAGTAACTCTATATCTTCTCGAGTAGTGAAATTCTCATTTAAAATTGACAAGTTCATGTGTTGGCAAAGTCCATAAATTTGCAATTAAAAGTTTGAATATTTACAAGTATATATTCAACTATTTCTAAGTCAAAGTCTTTATAGCTTTAGATATTCACAATTTAATAATAGCAAGTTCCATTTTTGCAACTACAAGTTCACATTTTCACGACTTTAAATTCACATATAAACAATTAATTCTTCCTATTTTGACTAACTCCATGTAAATCTAGAGAAATAGATGTAAAAAATTGACTAGACTTAAATTTTACTCTGATCTAAAATAGCATGCTCATTTAAAGGATAATTTTATGCTATGTTTGGATATATATATATATATATATGTATGTATGTATGTATGTATGTATGTATGTATGTATGTATAGATTTGGATTTGGAATTGAATTTGAACTAAATCTATTATTTGTGTAATTAAAAATGTATGGATTTAGATTTGACCTGAATCCAAATTCAAGTTCTACCTCAATTTCTTTCTAATTTAAAATCCTTTCTAAATCTCTATTATTTCAAATATTAACTCAATCTTTTTTATAATTTGATCAAATCCATAAAAGGTTGATTGACTCGCAACCAGTAATTGGACCGAACCGTCAAAGTTAATGAAAATAACCTACCATCGTTGATCAGGATTAGATAGCTGACTTCCATTGGGATCGAACTAATGGCGACAACTGGGACGAGACAACCAACTTCCATCGAGACCAAACCAATGGTGACAATGAGGATCGAACAATCAATTTCTACAAGGACAAGATTGATGATGACCACCAAGATCGAACAGTTGACTTCCATAAGGATCGAACCTATAATAAAAATTAGGACTGGATCGACTGTGACCAAGGGCCGGATGACCTACTTTTATAGAGACCAGATCCACAATAAAGATCAAGACCCGACTGACGTTGATCACTGGGACTGGAGACTGACTTCCATAGGAATCGGACCGATAATGACGATAAAGACCAAAAGACTGACTTTCCTCAGGACCAAATTGACAATGACTATTGGGTCCAGACAACAACTTCCACCAAGATCACATCGACGACGACCACCAAAATCGGATGGCTAATTTCTACTAAGACTGGACCAATGGTGACAATGGGGATTAGACGAGCGACTTCTACCAGGTCCAGTCTCGATGGAAATAGATTATCCTATTATGGTCGTCATTGTCGATATGGTTCGGATGAAAGTTTGCCATTTGATCTTGTTCCTTACTATCAATCCAGTCCCTATGAAAGGAGACCAACTGGTCTAGGCGGTCATCGTCAGTCCGGTCCTGGTGGAAGTTGATTATCTGGTCCTCATCATTACTATCAATCTCGTCTTGGTGGAGGTTAGCCATTCGATCTTCGTCATCGCTGTCAAACATGGTCATTGTTGTTGGTCCAGTCCCTTTAAAAGTCGGCTATCTAATCTTCGATCCATGTCGTGGCGTCAGTCTAGCCCCAATGGAAGTCAATCATCCTATCCTGATCGTCACCGATGCTACAGCCCTGGTGGAAGTCGATCATCTTGTCCCGATCGTCACCGGTGCCATAGTCTTAGTCAACTTTAGTTGTCTGATTTCGGTGAATGTTGGCCTTTTAGACTATCAACTTTAACTAGTCTTTCAAGTTTCTTTTAAATTCAAATATAGAATTTAAAATTTTACTTTAGATCTAAATAAAGAATTTTAATATTATAATTTAAAAATTTTTATATCATCCAAATAAAGAATTTAGAATTAAAGTGAGATTTTAAATATGAGATTTTAAATCTAAATTCTTATCTTAAATCCACACAACCAAATGCAACCTTAAAGATACACATGAAAACATTCTAGATGAACAAATAAACTATTATGATTTCATGACAAATAATTCACTACCAACTTAAAGTTCAAGAAACAAAGATTATATTAGCAAATTTTATTATATCAACAATCAATTTAGGTTATATTAACAATTAAATCACAACTATAGAATATAGAGAATAATATTGCCAATATTTATATATATATATATATATATATATACAGTTGAATATTGGTAAATTGTGGGAGGGACAAATGAGTTATTTCATTTAAAAATATAATTGTAAATGAGATCTTCCAAGCCTTGGAATAATTTTAGATTCGTTGAGCCTTATCTGCAATTTTGTTACTTATGGGGCCTGAGTGCGATTCTCTCTACAATTTGCGTGACTCTTCTCGTTTAGGGCCATGAGGTTTACATGGTGGGTTCCAAATTGGGCCTCATGCTCTTGAGGCTCTTAAACCCTCCTGTTACGCGACAATCAACATCAACCTCTGAAAATCATCACTGCGTTTAGTTCTTCCCATCTTCATACAGAAATGGCGATAGCGAACTCAAGGAAGGCTGAGGATATTGATAGTCTGACATCAGATGTCGCCTCTTTCGCCTCTTCGCTTGGTCTATCGTCCTTGTTACCTTCCTCATCTTCAGGTTTCAACGATGTTGATTTTCGCAAAAGAGGTACCATCAAGCGTACCATCAAGCCAAATAAGGCATCAAAGAAGCCAGAAACAGCCGCAAGACCTAGTTCTGAAGATAGCCATCAGCCCCAAAACAAGTATCTAGGGAAAAACTGTGGAGCGCATCAGAAATCCAAGCCTAAGCCTTCTGTTCTATCACTGGAAGATGGTGATAAGGGGAAAGGGTTTAATAGGTATAAGAATCTCCCGAAGCTTCCATGATGAAAGCGAGTGCTTTGGGTGTGTGGTATGTGGACGCGGCTGAGTTGGAAGCGAAAGTGATTGGGGAGGGGAAAAGGATAGAAATAAAGAATGTAGAAGAGTGGAAAAGCCTTGCCGAGAAAAGAAGGGAGGTGGGCGAGAGGATGATGGCACAGTATGTTCAGGACTATGAGTCGTCGAGAGGCCAAAGTGGCGACATCAAAATGTTGATTTCCACACAGAGGTCGGGTACTGCAGTTGATAAGGTGTCAGCGTTCTCAGTAATGGTGGGAGACAATCCAATTGCTAATTTACGGTCACTTGATGCCCTCTTAGGTGAGTAAACAATTCGTCTTCTCTTCTTCCTTTCTTCTTGTGTTTTTCCTGTTGTAACTGTTTAATTCGACTTAACTATAACATAATTCGAGACTTTCATGACTAAGAGGCACCGTATGTGACATGACATGACTACGACGACACCACAGAACATGAAACACTTGGATACAATTTATAGTGTTCCCTTTTGTTTGAGTAATGAGTGTTGGAACGGGTTCCATAATAGAAGTATCCATATTTAGTGGGTTATTTATTTTTTGGGCCTATTTTGTTGCTGACTGACACCTTAGAAAGATTTGCACAACGGACACGCTTCGCTTTAGATCTTTGTTTCTGTCAAATTACTGATTAGTTTGGGTGGTTATTGTGTATTCTTATTTTTATGTATTATTTTTGCTCAATCTTGAATTCTTCCCCTCTACATCTTGCTGTTGTGAGGTTTTGACATTAGTTTTTGAAACCCGAAGTTTACATCTTGATCTCTTTAAATATCGGCGATCCTCTTAGTTGATGTGACATCTCATTGCTCAAACTGCACCTCAGTCTAATGTTAATGAAAGGAATGTAATTATTTTCCTCCTAGCGGCACTTCCCTAGAATTGTGCTTATAGAGTGAAGTATGGTGCATGTTCTACCCAAACTTTGATCGGGCAAGTCTATTTAAGTTTTGTGTTAACATTGTTCATTTCATGACATTACTTCACCCTGAATGTTTTGGTTGCTACATTGGCTGACTCTGTTTATTCTATGTGGTTACAGTATAAATGTTGTCCTGTCTTTCCCATTTGCTCATAGAGTTGAGCTTTTAATGGAATAAAATGTTTCATTTAGGAATGGTGACATCTAAGGTCGGAAAACGCCATGCATTGACTGGTTTTGAAGCGCTAAAAGAATTGTTCATCTCAAGGTTTGTATTTCCTCAGCTTCTCCCTTTCCATTTCTCCCCCTCTTCAATAATTAGCTGGTCTGTATAGGTTGAAACTAAATTTATAAGCTTGATTGCTATGCCTTTGATTGTGCTACTCTAATAGCTCCTTATTTGTGTAAAATTGAGTCACATACATCTCAAATTCTCCATATGCTTTGTATCTTTACGTGCAGCTTATTACCTGATCGTAAATTGAAGACTTTGATACAGCGGCCAATAAATCATGTTCCCGAAAATAAAGATGGTTACTCTCTTTTACTGTTCTGGTATTGGGAGGAATGCTTGAAGCAGAGGTATGTGTCAGTAATGCTTCATTCTTGCTGGTGAACCACATTCTTTGTTTTCTAATCTATTTTCCCCCTACCTTTTGCTTTATTGACATCCACGAAGCTCTTTTTGAGTAATGCAATGAATAGCTTCTGATGTTTCAGTTATGAAAGATTTGTTATTGCACTTGAAGAAGCATCCAGAGACATGTTACCTGTACTTAAAAACAAATCCTTAAAGGTCGGTTTTCTGTTCATATTTTCACTTACCTCCTGACAACTCTGTTCATATTTTGTGGCTTGACAAGTCACTTTCACTTGCAACTTTTGAGTTAAAAATAAAATACGTCAGGGAAAAGGGTTGCTACTACTTATTAACTCTTCAGGCTTTTTTCCTTCAATCTCTGGAGGAACTTGAAAATTATTTTAGAAAATAAGCATAGAAATGGAAGGAAAAGGGTTTTATGAATATTTCTTTTTCCCATACTCCAATCTTCCTTTTCCTTTTAATGCAAGCTAGTGAGAAGTGATGACAATATTGAGATTTGTTCTTACATGTATTTAGTTATATATAGTGTATATCTTTTTAACTCCTGGTCCACTGTTTTGGATGTGGTGTTCCTCCTCTTTTTTGTTGCTTGCAGTCCATATACATGCTTTTGAGTAGCAAGTCAGAACAAGAGCGCAGACTACTTTCTGCTCTTGTTAATAAGGTGAGTTAATATTGATTTTTCTGCACTTGCTATACTGATATTTGTGCGGAACATGGGACATGGATTTTTCCTTGTCACTGTTGCTAGCCAGTGAGCTCGCTGCATTTAGTTAAACACGTTGATAATACTTACTCTGTCTTTTGCATGGTTGGGGATGGGGATGGGGACATCCATTGGAATTACTTCAGCTTGGGGATCCGGATAATAAGGCTGCATCTAATGCTGACTTTCATTTGTCAAACCTCGTGTCTGACCACCCAAATATGAAGGTATGGATATATGATAATACATCTTGTCTTACATTTTTTGATAATGATGATGTAGATGTTACATTTAGAGGGTTGATATTATATGCTTGTCCCTGACTAATACTGTTACTTGTTCAAGAGATTATGCTGATGTATTTTATTTACATTTTATTAATTGCATCTTGTCTTTCTTGTTCAGGGTGTGGTTATTGATGAGGTGGATTCTTTTCTCTTTCGCCCTCATTTGGGACCACGGGCTCAGTACCATGCAGTAAGTCCTAAACTTCTATTGCTAATGCATTTCTTATATCAATGCATAATTTGGATCAGAATACATCCTCCTTGTCAGCTCTAGTTAGTTGTCACCTGTCACCTGTCAACTGCAAAAATACTGGGCCTATGTTCTGGCATGTTTTTGCTTGTTTGTAAGTTATACATTACCTGCCTAGAGGTTGTAGGGGTTATGATTCAAAGGAAAATCAATATCCTTTGCCTGCAAGAAACAAAATGGCGTGGAGAAGAAGCTAAGGATATTCAAGGTTTCAAACTTTGGTATACAGGAAAAGTAAGTGCACGCAATGGAGTAGGCATCATTATAGATAAGGAGTGGAAGAAGAACGTTGTAGAAGTTAGCAGAATCGGAGACAGAATTATTTCCTTAAAAATGATAATTGGATGTGAGACTGTTAATATTGTTAGCGCTTATGCGCCGCAAGTCGGGACAGAAGCCAGTCTTAAGGAATTATTTTGGGAGGATCTAGAGGGGTTGATTCGACATATACCACAGAGTGAAAAAATTTTTATTGGAGGAGACTTTAATGGGCATGTTGGGAGGGAAGCTGGTCAGTATGCGAGGGTGCATGGTGGTTTTGGTTTTGGAGAGCTAAACAATGAAGGACAAACTCTTCTTGATTTCTCATTGGTGTATGATTTTAAGATTGCCAACACTTGTTTCAAGAAAAGAGATGAGCATCTCATCACTTACAAAAGTGGAGCCTCAAGGTCACAGATTGATTTTCTTTTGGTTAGGAACACAGATAGAAGACTTTGTAAAAATTGTAAGGTGATCCCCGGAGATGCTGTTACGACACAACATAGGGTCCTAGTCCTTGATGTGTGTATTATGAGTAAAATCCAAAAACGTCGACAAGTAGTAACACTAAGGATTAGGTGGTGGCAATTAAAAGGTGAGAAGCAAGATATTTTCAAGCGAAATCTTTTGGATAAAGGAATTTGGGAATCTCAGGGAAGTGCTAACATCATATGGGAGGATATGGCTGAAAAGATACGGGAGGTTGCAAAAGTAGTTTTGGGAGAATCGAAAGGTTCTGGTCCGAGAGATAAGGAGTTTTGGTGGTGGAATAATAGTGTACAGGACAAAATCAAGTATAAGAAGAACTGTTTTAAAGCCATACATTTGTGTAACAATGAGGAAAATTGGGAGAGGTACCGTATGGCTAAGAAGGAAACTAAGAGAGCTGTGGGTGAAGCTCGTTCTAAAGCTTTTGAAGAACTTTATAAGAACCTTGAGACGAAGGAAGGAGAGCAAAATATTTCTAAGATTGCCAAGAGTAGGGAAAGAAAATCAAGAGATCTAGAACAGGTAAGGTGTATTAAGGATGAAGAGGGAAGAATTTTAGTTACAGATGATGAAATTAAAAATAGATGGGAGACTTACTTTTCTAAACTTTTCAATGATGGAGAGGATTCATCTAGTAATTTGGAGGATTTAGTAACTGGTGAAGGAGAACAAAATTTGTCATTCTATCGAATAATACGTGATAAGGAGGTAAAGGAAGCTCTTAAGAAAATGGCAAATGGTAGAGCCAACGGACCTGATTGTATATCTATCGAAGCGTGGAAATGTTTAGGTGAAGAAGGGGTGAGATGGTTAACTAAGTTATTTAATGTGATTTTACGGTCCAAGAAAATGCCTGATGAGTGGAGGAGAAGTACATTAATTCTTATTTATAAAAATAAAGGAGATATTTAGAATTGTACTAACTATAGAGGGATTAAACTCATGAGCCACACAATGAAATTGTGGGAGAAAGTAATTGAGCACAGGTTGAGATTGGAGACAAGTATTTCTGAGAATCAGTTTGGTTTTATGCCAGGTAGATCAACTACAGAGGCGATTTATCTACTAAGGGGATTAATGGAAAAGTATCGTTGTAAAGATAAAGATCTACATATGGTTTTTATTGATTTGGAAAAAGCTTATGACCGTATACCAAGAGAAGTGCTTTGGAAAGCGTTGGAAAAAAAGGGAGTACGGATTGCTTATATTAAAGCCATACAAGATATGTATGAGGGGGTAAAACTAGTATAAGAACACCTAGTGGTCAAACAAAGGATTTTTCTATAAAGATTGGACTACATCAGGGATCATCTCTGAGTCCTTATTTGTTCAACTTGATTTTAAATGTTTTGACGGAACATATTCAAGAGGAAATCCCGAAATGTATGCTCTTCGCGGATGATATAGTTCTTATAGCAGAGACAAGAGAAGAGGTTAATTGTAAACTTGAGTTATGGAGGAGGACATTGGAGTTGAAAGGTTTTCGTCTGAGTAGAAGTAAGACGGAATATTTATATTGTAAATTTGGTAAAGGAATATTCGACAATAATTTGGAAGTGAAATTGGGAGATCAAATTATACCTCAAGTGGAAAAGTTTAGATATTTGGGAGCCATTATTCAAAATGATGGCGAAATCAGTGGAGATATTTCACATAGAATTCAAGCTGGGTGGTTTAATTGGAGAAAAGCTAAAGGAGTTATTTGTGACCGTAAGGTGCCTAATAAACTTAAAGGAAAGTTTTATCGCACTGCTATCAGACCGGCAATGTTATATAGTAGTGAATGCTGGACTCTAACGGGACAGCAAGAGCATAAAGTTGGAGTAGCAGAGATGAGAATGTTACGATGGATGTGTGGACATACACGTAAAGATAAAATTCGAAATGAGCACGTACGTGAAAAAGTGAGGGTGGCACCTATTGAAGAAAAAATGGTAGAAAATCGGTTGAATGGTTTGGGCATGTACAAAGAAGACCAAGGGAGGCACCAGTGAGAAGAGTGGAACATATAACTTTGAGTCCGATTAAGAGAGGTAGAGGAAGGCCTAAGAGAACACTCTTGAAAGTTGTTGAACGCGATCTCTTAATTAATAATATTCCTAAAAGTTTGATAAATGATAGAGTACAATGGCGTCTTGCAATCCATGTAGCCGACCCCACCTAGTGGGATAAAGGCTTGTTGTTGTTGTTGTTGTTGTTGTAAGTTATACATTACCATTGATGTTAGTATTATTGAGATCTGTATGTGGCACGCAAATGGAGAATGTCTTAAATGCTAATCTTCATGTTTATTTTGCTTAGGGCTCTTGCACGCTGTCCATTGACAGCAGAATATTCTTGACATCATTTTTTAGGTTTCTTCAAATGTTAATTTTGTTATAGAATAATGGTCTCTTTTGGAAGAGCATATATATTTATTTATCTTATTAAAATTACTTTTCTAAATGCTGCAGGAGTGGCCCTTTAATTTCATGACTCTGCACCCCTTTTTTGAGCATTAATTTTTGAACTCCTGCTTGACATTCTTTGACCAAAAAATATAGCTGATCTGTCTTTCCTACATACTTGACATTCTTTCAGGTTAACTTCTTGAGCCAAATCCGTCTCACACATAAAGGAGATGGGCCAAAAGTGGCAAAACGTTTAATGGATGTATATTTTGCTCTATTTAAGGTATTGGAATATCATGTGATTTTTCGATTGTTCTGTGATTTAGGAGAAAAGTTTTAAATGGAAAAGAAAAGAAAAGTATTGTTCACAGTTTATGATGTTCAGGTCTTGATTTCTGGAGCAAGCAGCAATCGAAAGATGGATAAAAGCAATAAGGCAAATTTTAAAAGTGAAAAGTTAAAAGATTCGCCAGAACCACATGTTGAATTGGATTCACGGCTTCTATCAGCTCTCTTAACTGTAAGTATCAATGTGCTAATACTTGTGAATTAACAGTTGTGAAATTTTGGCTTTGAAAAAGTACGTGTAATCTGGGTTTACATAAAAATTGGTCTAACTTTACAGGGAGTAAATAGGGCATTCCCCTTTGTCTCTAGTGATGAAGCTGATGATATTATTGATGTTCAAGCACCAGTACTCTTCCAATTGGTAATTCCTTTGTTTGATGTCAACATCAATGAAAAGTTGATTCAATATCTCACTGACTGATGCTGCCCAAAGAACTTTTATTACTTGATTTTTGTTCTTTGATGTTTACGCAAACTTAAAATCTGCAGGTCCATTCCAAGAATTTTAATGTAGGACTTCAAGCACTGATGCTTCTTGATAAAATATCATCCAAGAATCAGATAGCCAGTGATCGGTTTTACCGAGCTTTGTACTCCAAACTCTTGCTTCCTGCTGCCATGCACACGTCAAAGGCATGCGAAATACTTTTTTCATTCATAAAAAATGTTTTTGTTTTGACTTTCTGTTCCTCTCAAGTTTTTCCTCACATTTATTTTCAGGTGGAAATGTTTGTTGGACTTGTCCTGAGAGCAATGAAGAGGGATGTGAATTTAAAGCGTGTGGCTGCATTATCTAAACGCCTTTTGCAGGCAAGTAACAAACTGAGCTTCTACTGCCTTGTTTCTTGTGTGTGTTGGTTTCAATTATTAATTTAACTTTCTTCAACAGGTTGCGCTTCAGCAGCCACCACAGTATGTATGTGCATGTCTTTTCCTCCTTTCTGAACTCCTTAAAGCAAGACCACCTTTATGGTAAATGTTAATTATTGATTGGTCTGTCTGTAACATAATTATTGCTTGTTATTCTAGATTAGAATGTCTTTAAAGACTCTAGGTTCTTTTTGTTGCATTGGAAGTCAAGCACTGACAAATTTACTATAAAAATAGCCATCTACTTATCTTCGTTTGTTAAGCAGGAACCTCATGTTGCAGAACGAATCTGTTGATGAGGAACTTGAACACTTTGAAGATGTTAGAGAAGAAACTGATGCTAAACCCAGCATTGCAACAAATAAGCAAGTTGACGTTGGACCTGTTCAGCATGGTGGTGATGACAATTCTGAGAATGAATCTTCAGAAAAAGAAGATGACCTACCTAAATCTTCCGATTCTGAAGATGATTCAGATGATGCTGAGTTTTTGCTAGCAAGGAATGAAAAAGTTCCTGAGAATTTGAAATATGGAGCTGATGATGAAGATCACCTGTCAAAGATATCCTCCAACTCTTTGCCTGGAGGTTACAATCCACGACACAGAGAGCCTTCTTATTGGTAATATTTTTGTTGGTTATAATGAATCTCCATTTATCATGTATCTCTATAGAATGGGTGGAGAAAAATGGATTGATAGCATTGCATTTTCTTCTGTGTTTCTTGACACACCTATTTATAAGCTTAGAAGCAAGAAAAAATATCCTCCTGACACTTAACGTAAGAACTAGAAAAAAGTGCACCCCCCCCCCTCCAATTAGATGTCTGAAGGGAATAAGAAAATGAAAATGTCAAAAGACCAGGTGCACCTGAGGCTGCAGTTAAAATGGCTATATAAGTGACATTCATATTTTGATATTTATTTATCCTCGTGTTACACTTGCTGTCTTCTCCTTCATCATTGTGTGCATATTTCCTTCTATCCAACAGCAATGCAGACCGTGTTAGTTGGTGGGAGTTAATAGTTCTTGCCTCACATTCACACCCATCTGTGGCTACTATGGCCAGAACTCTTCTTTCTGGAGCCAACATTGTCTATAATGGAAACCCACTAAATGACCTATCGCTGCCAGCTTTCCTAGACAAGTTCATGGAGAAGAAACCAAAACAAAGTACATGGCACGGTGCTTCTCAGATTGAACCTACCAAACAGGTACAAGAATAATCAACATCCTTAAATTCTTACGCTGGTGAAAGATTTCTGCGGTTATGGTGTAGTGGTCCTGCCTTTCGGTACACCTGACTGATGTCATTTTGATTTTGATTTTGCAGATGAGCATTAACAACCATTTGATTGGGCCAGAAATTCTGTCACTAGCAGAAGTAGATGTACCGCCAGAGGATCTTGTCTTCCACAAGTTCTACACAAACAAAATGAATTCTTCAAAGAAACCAAAGAAAAAGAAAAAGAAGACAGCCGATGAGGAGGCTGCTGAGGAGTTGTTTGATGTTGATGGTAGTGACGTTGATGGGGGTGACGAGAGTGATAACGAAGAGATTGAGAATCTGTTGGATAATGCTGATCAATCTTTGGACGCTGATGGTGAGTATGACTATGATGATTTGGATAAAGTTGCCAATGAGGATGACGAGGACTTGATCGGCGATGTTAGTGATGGCGAGATGGAAGTGCTCTCAGACATGGCAGAGGAATTCTCTGACGCACCAATTGAAGGTGGCGATGGTGGTGAGGATGATAATGGTATAGACGTTGGAGATGTTGATGATGTTTCTGACGTTGAGGAGGAGGATGTAGTTGATAGGAAAAAACGAAAACGGAACAAGAAAAGCTCAGCGTCTCCTTTTGCAAGCTATGAAGATTATGAGCATCTAATGGATGATGGTAACCAAACCGAAGAACCGTCTTCCCACAAGAAGCGCAAATCTAAGAAAAAGTAAAGGTAGCAACTTTGAGAAGTTCATATTGGTGGCATAGTCTCATAGTTGACATTGATTTGTATTCTTATACTTGATTTTAACTTCAGATACAACTTCTATGGTCCTGTATTAAATTCCATACCCTGAAGCTTCTTCCATTCTTTTTTCCTCCCCTGATATTTTAGTCAAATGAATGGAAGAAACCAATTTTGCTGTTAGTGAGCGTGCAAAAATATTCTCCGACATGAACTCGGCTTCAACACTCAATTGGTTTCGCTATCAGTTTTGAACTTTCTTACTGCTATTTTGATGTTTCCAACTCATCAACATAACTAACCAACTAAATATTAACATTAACAATTAACAATATTTTAATATTCCGTTACTCGAGGCACACGAGCGAACGTCACCAAGTTTGGCCTGTCCTTGGGGCACATTAGAAGTATGCAAGAAACCAATGGAAAGTAACAATAGATAATACCTTGATCTTCGGGGAAAATCAGTTAAATTTATCAGAGAACAATGATAAAAATTGAGGGACGAGATAGAATTTATCCCTCCATTTTTATTTATAGAAAAAATTATCATTTTTAATTTATTTTTTTGCATAAGCAAAATTATATTTCTCAATATGCAATTATTGTAAACTTTCTAAATTACTTTTCAAAATTTTATCATTCATAATCATAAAAAACAATTAATGAAGACTTAATTAGCACAATCAATAAAGGATATTGTAGTCTAACTCTTTTATTTCAAACATAATTAATATAGTCAACTGATCTTCTTAAAATGCGTGATACAATTTTTTTCCTCCTACAAATAAAAAGGGAGGGAGTAACATTTAATACTTTTGATTTGTTGCAGGGCATTGAGAGATTAATGACTAGATTTAGAGCCAACAAGATAAAAAAATTCCTAAATTCATTATAAGTAATCAAAGAGTTTTAAAGGCGAATGGAGTTTCAAATGATCTAAGAAAGACTCTTAATCTTAACATATTGGGCCTAACTCAAAATACTTAGGCCTATGAATCCATTTAGTTTAGTTAATTTTTTTTAAATTTAGAAAACTAGTTTATCTTATTTTATTTTAATAGTAAAGTTTAGAAAACTTAGTTTATTTTGTTTTAAATTCAAACAAGGATAAAATATATCCATTAAAATATAATCTATCCATTTAAAATTCTAAATTAACTAGAATTGTGTTATTTAGATTTTTAGAAATTTATTTAAACAGTTCAATCTTTTATGGTTTTAGAAGACTTGATTTAGATTTATGAGTTAATTTTTTTTTCAATTTTAAAACTATTTTAATTAGTGTTATTCTTCATAAGATATCACACTATAAGATTTGACTTATTGTGTGCTATTGTTCAATTGTCCCATATTAAGATGACGGTTGGTAAAGCTTTTAAGAATGATTGAGGTATGATGAAAAATTGGACGAAAAAAAAATCAACAGTTTTTCAACTAAAATCTTAAAATTTTTAGTCTTCCTTTAATCTTTTTTTCAATTGTAAGGATGGGAATCAAAAAATTCACTTGTATTCTTTTTTAGAACACTTCTCCGCTTGTATTTAATTCTTTTCAGTAATAATTCTTGATAAATGGCTGTAGAAAAAGTGAACAATAAACATTAGAAGTATGCAAGAAACTAATAGAAAGTAACAATAAATAATACCTTGGTCTTTCGGGAAAATCAGTTAAATTTATCAGAGAACAATGATAAAAATCAAGGGACGAGGTAGAATTTATCCCTCCGTTTTTATTTATTGAAAAAATTATCATTTTTAGTTTTTTTTATATAAGTAAAATTACATTTCCCAATATGCAATTATTGTAAACTTTCTAAATTACTTCTCATGATTTTATCATTTATAATCATAAAAAATAATTAATGAAGGCTTAATTAACACAATCAATAAAGGGTATTGTAGTCTAATTTTTTAATTTTAAATATAATTAATATAGTTAATCAATTTTCTTAAACTGTGTAATACAATTTTTTTTTCCTCCTACAAATAAAAATGGAGGGAGTAACATTTAGTACTTTTAATTTGTTGCAGGACATTAGGAGATTAATGACTAGATTTAGGGCCAACAGAATAAAAAAATCTCTAAATTTATTAATTAAGGATGTTATAAGTGATCAAAGAGTTTTAAAAACAAATAGAATTTCAAATGATTTAAGAAAGACTCTTAACATATTACGCCAACTCAACATACTTAGGCCTATGAGTCCATTTAGTTTAGTTAATTTTTTTTAATTTAGAAAAACTAGTTTATCTTATTTTATTTTAATATTTAAGTTTAGGAAACTTAGTTTATTTTGTTTTAAATTCAAATAAAGATAAAATATATCCATTAGGATATAATTTATTCATTTAAAATCCTAAATTAACTAGAATTGTATTATTTAAATTTTTAAAAGTTTATTTAAACAGTTCAACCTTTTATGGTTTTAGAAGACTTGATTTAGATTTCTAAATTATTTTTTTTTTCAATTATAAGACTATTTTAATTAATGTTATTTTTCATAAGATATCACACCATGAGATTTGACTTATTATGTGCTATTATTCAACTGCCCCATATCAAGATGATTGGTAAAGCTTTTAAGAATGATCAAGGTACGATGAAAAATTGGGGGAAAAAAAAATTCAACAGTTTTCAACTAAAATCTTAAAACTTTTAGTCTTCCTTTAATCTTTTTTCCAATTGTAAGGATGGGAGTCAAAAAATTCACTTGTATCCTGTTTTGGAACACTTCTCCACTTGTATTTAATTCTTTTCAGTAATTATTCTTGACAAATGGCTGCAGAAACAGTCCACCTATTTTTTCACCAATTGAATATCTTCAAATTTTTTTACATTTCAGGCCAAAAAAAAAAAATGACATGCTCTTAACTCTTCAGTATCCAACCTTCTACAAGAATCACTGATTAAAAAAATGTAAGTTTTTCCCACTTGTATCTTTTAAAAATTTCAATCTACCTATGATTTTTATAATAAATATCCTTAGAAAAGATTATTACTGCTAAAAAAAAAAAATCAGAAATCCTCCTTCATTAGAATTTCTAATATTCCGAGAATAATTGAAAGCCATGTAAGATCATCATCTCATATTTCGTCATTATTAATTGTCTTAGAATGGAAAGTCAAAGGATGATTAAATTACTAAAAAAATTGTTTAACTTAACATCTGCAATATCTTTATTAAGATTAAAAAAAACTTACTACTTGTTATTCCCCTCTAAACTCACCCAGTAAGGCTTGAATCTCTACCTAATACTATGAAATAGATAAACAACCACCATGCATAATCCCTCCCTTCCTCTCTTTTTAGAAAAAGATCATAGATTTTACAACTTTCTTAATTCAAATTCATTTACTTTCCACAGTAAGTAACTTGAGGTGTCTAGCTTCATGGCGAGAGGAATCATTAGGAGCACAGTATTGAGGAAGAAGCTACAAATTTCCCGACACAAACCACAGGCATACATCGGCGTTGGCAACATAGTTTTCAGCAAAAAAACAGAAATCCAAAGTATTTCGCTTCAGGCGATGGCAACTTGAACTGCTTTGGATTTTGGCGGTGGCGGATGCTTCTCAACAGTCACAGTGAGAACACCATTCTCGCATTTTGCACTGATGGCTGCCGCATTGGCATTCTCCGGCAACCGAAACTTCCTCACCAGCTTCTGCGGCGCTCTCCTTTCAAGTCTCAGGTACTTGCACCCTTCTTCTTCCCCTTCTTCGCGTTTCCTCTTCCCGTTGCTTCGGACCACCAGTGTGTTCTCGTCTTCCACTGTCACCTACAAGATTACACTCGTTAGTCTCTCTATCATTATAAGCCCATCCTTGTGATCTGTACTTTGGTTCTACAAGTTCTCCATCCAACTACACCGCCTAAAGAAATTGTGAAAGTAAACCACTACCCCACTCCTTGCAACATGTTATGTTATGCATCATTTGACTCCAAATGTCCCACAAACACTCGCAAAGTAGATCTGGTTTAGCTTCAATGCTTGATGATGTTGATCTAGGGGTTCCAAGTTCAATTACTGGCAGGCAAGACCAGACTATATAACTGCACAACTATTAAGTCTATAAGCATGATAGAAAACTGATAGTAGTTGTTATCTTCTGAATACTAAACTGATAAAACATGCATCTTTCAAGGATGGAAATGGTTTCGTTATCAAAGCATGGTGTGCTTTTATGAGCTGCTTTAACATGAAAATCCATCCACCAAGTTACTCTTCTTCACCTCACCCCACAAACAAGTCCTAGCTCCTACATCTTGGCAGCAACGAGAAAGCATATTGAGCACAAAGATCAACATGCAAGGATCCTCTAGAAATTTCTATTAGATGGTTAGAGAGAAAATGGCACACATTGGTTTTTGGAGTTTAGAGCTAAAACGAATCATAGTGATAAATTGATTTTAGATATATATATATATATATATCAACTCCTCCTCTTGCCCCATTCTGAATTCTTTGAAAACTTCAATCTCTGCTCAACATCAAGAGGCTCCGGAACCAAGCCCCCCCCCCCCCGCCAAAAAAAAAAAAAAAAACGGGGGCGGCAAGAAGAAATTTTCCCTGTCTACTGGGAATAAGGAAGTAATCGAAGTTGAAATTGACTCAGTTCATTTATAAAACGAACAGGGTTTAAAAAACCAAACCACAGCTTGACCAACCTACAAGCCTAGTTGGGAAATATCAATATGCGTTTTAACAATATAATACTTGTGCCATGAACAAATCCAAGAGGAGACCAACGATCGAGCGTGATTGAATGAGATATACAGCCAGGTAGGTGGTTTACCTGAATGTCGGTTTTGGAGAGACCAGGGATGTCCATGTAGAATACGTAGTCCTTGGGAGTTTCCAAAATGTCCACTGGGATGTTAGACAGGCCTCTGGTTTCTTGGGAGTCGTGAGCTCGAGGTTGAAACATGAATCTTTCAATTGTTTCGGGAAGATTGAACAGACTGTTCAAATCTCCATTGAACGAATCCGCAATTCTGCTCATCCTCCCCCAATTACTCTGAAACCACCAAGCTGTCAACGGTGACTGGTGAGTATAAACGCTTGAACATGAAAATGATGGTCACTTTAAAGAGCTTGTTATATTTTACTGCTTTTGTGCTACTGCTAACGCTACAAATTTAAGAAAAAGAAAACATACTGAGGCTTCATAAAAAAACATTGTAATCAAGTTTAGCTAACATTTTAAAGTTCAACCCTAAAGTAAAGGCTACGGTCTTAAAATATTATAAAATTGTTAAACTTGAAGCAAATATCGAGCCCCAAAAAATATTTACTTCTACCTCATGTAACCTTATTTGGCCAAACAAAAAAAATCTTATATAACCTTACCTATAAATTTTCATACGAATTTATGACTTGCTTTTCATTAATTCTTTATTTAACATTAGATCTCTTCTTAAATAATTTAATATCTAATTTTAAAGCTCAAAAGGCCAAAAGAATGATAAAAAAATAAATAAATAATAAATAATTATGCTTTTTTTTCTAATAATTTTGCATTAAGCCCCAAAATCCTTTCACACACACCTCAGAGAATATTCACCACATTGTTAGGCAAGTCTTTCGAATGTACTGAAAAATAAAGAACAACGAAGGTCGCCATAATACTCCAAAAACAGGGAGAAGATGAGGTAAAATTTTTCCAGACAACATTATGAAGAAGAAAAACGAAGACTGAGTAACATCACCGATAGAAGCGACAAGCTTCTCTTCCATCAAAGAACTGAAAAATCGGGACGGCAGAAAATGAAGATCGAGTTTCCAATAACAACAAACATACCTAAATATCCGCAACTATAGTGCGTAGGAAAAGTGATCGAAAGCACTGGAGCGAGAAGAGAGGTGTGTGAAAGTAGAAAGAGCAAATCAGGTGTTTGGTGGGCGAGAAAATTTGGCATACATATAAAAAAGGAGGGAAAGTTCCAGAGGGATGGAGGGAATGAGAATGATCTGGAAGCATGATGATTCCACGTGTTGATCAATCATGGCTAAGGTGCAAACCCAGGCTCCTTTCTGTGTACCCTAATACATAACACGTGTCGTATTCCCTCGCGTTCTCCCACTTTTCTTCTTCACGAACCGGTTTTTTTTTTTTTTTTCCTGGACAGTATTATTCTTGTTTTCTCTTACATATAAATCAGAGATGAATTAATATTTTTTATAAATTACTTTGCAAAGAAAAATTAAATTATTAATTAAATTTTTAATTGGATTCCTTAACAGTTTTCTATGGGTGGTAAAAAATTGTGCATGAAAATAAAATATTTAACAAAAGTAAATTGAGAATTTTTTTAAAATAATATTAATGATTTAATTATATCTCTTTTACCAAATATAATATATTAATTGACGTTTCTTCTAATTATTCATCAACTAGATTTATGCCCCATACACGGGAATAATTTAGTTTTTAAGAATAAAAATTAAAATTAAAATTAAAAAATTATTTTAATATTTTTAAAGTAAAAAATATTATTTTCATTTATTTAATATTTAATTATAAATATTTTTAATTTTAAAATTTTTATGAATCTCTTTTAAAATTAATAGTTAAGAGTTACAAAATATGAATATGCTTTCTATTTTTAAATTTTTACTTTCACCCATCTAATCATTAACTGATATTTTTTCTGTTTAAAAATGTAAGGTATTTTTAGTTTTTTAAAGTATAATTATTATTTTTTTAAAAAAATACCCTTATTGATAATGACTTTATATTTATGATAGGGTGTGTAATAGAAACAAATATAAAAAAATATGGTTAATTAAAAAGTAGGTAACTGCTTTATTGAGAGATAAGATTTAATTAGAAATGCATTACATTTTTAAACAAATGGAGTAGTTACTATTCTTGATATATTCTTTTAAATTTTTATTTTTATTTTAAATTCATTAGTCATACAAACTAGTTCATTAAGTATTTTTTAAAAAAACTAAATACATACTCTATATTTTAAAAAATGTAAAGCATTTTTTAACTGAATTAGAACTTCACATGTTAAATTTCTTATTTGTTATTGTATTGTTATGAATATAAAAAAAATTTGAATATTTAAACAAAACTTGTGAATCATTTATTTTTAACAAGGATAATTTAATAATTTATATAAATTTATTAATGGTAGAAAAGTCTCTAAAAATTTTAAAAAAATTATAATATTTCAATAGATTAAATTATTATTTATATATTTAAAAAAAAATTATTGTCATTTTCCTTTATTTTTATCTAAACCATGTATCCCCAAGCAAATATACCATATGCGATGTGCAGGAATGTTTTAATTTTTAAGAATAAAAATAAATATAAATATTAAAAAAATTATTTTAGTATCCTTAAAATAAAATATACTCCCTCCGTTTAAAAATATAAAGTATTTTTGAAAAGTTGGGTGTGAAAAAATGTAAGAAATTTTTAGTCTTTCGAGGTGTAATTATTGTATTTTTTTCAAAAATACTCCTATTGATGGTGACTTTATATTTATTATATAGTAGTTAATAGGGGTAAATATAAAAAAATAGGATTAGTTTAAAAGTAGGTAAAAACTTTATTGGGGTGATATTCAGTTAAAAATGCCTTACATTTTTGAATGAATGAAGTATTACTTTTCTTTTTTTATCTTAATTATAAAGATTTTTTTAAAATCTATGCAAATCCTTCTTAAAATCAATAGTTAGGAGTTATAAAATATAAATATACCTTCTATTTTTATTTTTACTCATTTAATCATTAGCTAACAGTTATATATATGTTGGACAAAAATACCATTCATGATATATTCTTTTAAATTTTTATTTATATTTTAAAATACCATTCATGATATATTTTAATTTTGTTAATTAAATTATAGGTCTCACACCTAGTTTTTTATCATTAGTAATTTCTTTACATATCTAATACTTATTATTTTTACAATAGGCTCCCACTCACATTTTTTTAACTGTAGGTCCATACATTACTTTTTTAAATCACACTACTCTAATTTTTTAAAAATTTAAGTTTATTAAAATTTTACATTCTCTCCATTCATATTAGGTCCTCAATTCATATTAATTTTAAAATATATAAACATATGAAAAATTTATAGTTGAATCTAACTCTTGATGCTTCTAACTTTTAGATTTATTTAAGTTGATTTAACTGTTTCAAATTATTAAAAATTATTTTAATTTTTTTTGAATTCATAAATTGCATCTTTGAATTTTTCTGGCCAAGTTATATATTTAATTTTTAAAAAGTTACAAAATTAATTTTTTGGTAATTCAAATAATTTTTAGATAATATTTATATTTAAATAGGGCATTTTAGTCTAACACATATGACTTCATAATCAACTAATGGTTAGATAGATGAAAATAAAATTTTAAAAATAAAAGGAAAGCTTGTATTTTATAACTATCTATATTAAAAAAATGTTTATATAGGTCTCAAAAAATAAAAGAGAACTATCATTAATTAAGATAAAATAAAGAAAATGTTAAAATATTTTACTCATTTTTAATTATAAGTTTCATATTAATAATTTAATATTTATAGGTCCTACATGTATCTCTCTGACAATAGGGCCAGTATAATTCTTTATCTTTTTTTATTTTTACTATATCATATTTAAATTAAAATATACATATACATATACATATATATATATATATATATATAAAAGAAAAATTTGGCACCGGCGGCTACCCACATAAAAAAGTTAACAAAAAAATTAAGAAAAAAAAAGAAAGAAAATGTTGGATGGCCACCTGGCTGCTCAGCTTACCGATGAAAAATGCATATTACATGGATGTCACTGTTTATTCAACGTAAATGGAAGATTTCAAATTTATATATATATATATATATATATATTAATTCATTCATCATAGACGAAAGATCTCAAATATACATACATATATATATATATATATATTATATAGATATATAGATTAATGTATATATGCTAATGCATGCATTTCGCGCTCTCATTTCCGAAACACCTCACCCAAATCATTCTCCAATATTTTAATTTTCACAAAATGATCAATATTGCTTGTGCGAAATGGACAGTGACATGCAAAAGAGGAAAGGGACAGTGGCCAGAAGAGTATCTGGCTTGAAGATTTAACGTAATTTTCACTCCCCCTGGAGCAAATATGTTATTATTGAATATAATTATGTCTGAGAAATGATCAAACATTAAATATAAATATTTTTTTTAATAAAAATTCAAATTTTAATTTATCATATGGTAAATAGCTAGTCCCTTTCATTAAATCTACATTCTAAAATGGAGGAGGCTACTATCAAGGCACAACACAAGAGTCAAAATAAAGGGCCCTTTTATGCGAAAAATATTGCGATGGAATTTTCTTTTCAAAATTCCTGACCAATGATGACACTTGATATCCATGTTTGTCAGTTCAACTGGTTTCACAATTATTTTCTTCAATCAAATACGAGAATTGTGAATGAAAAAGAGACAGTTGATTCAATTGGCTTGACGACTATTTACGACAGTTCAGTCAGATGCCTTGAGTTTATGAATAAAAAAGAAAAATAATTAGATGTATATGCAAAATCTCCAACTTAATTCAAATTGGATTTAGTCAAATATTGGGTCTGGGTTCAATTAGTTATTAGCATATTAAAAGAAATGAAGTCCATGATATTTTCCTTCGGAGAATCTAGGTCTTTTTTGGTATCTACGTAGGGGCTTTGACTCGGCGTTTTAGTCTTCCAGGCCTAGTTGTCCTTGAATTTGTATCTAGTGGACTTTACAAAAAGACTCAGGTGCATGCATTAGGCATGTTTGTATGTATTTTTATAGTTTAAAAGTATAAAATATTTTTAATTTAATATTATCTTAATATAATAATTAATTATTTTTAAATTAATACTATTTTTTTATTATTTATTTTTATTTAAAACAATGTTTTATTTTAGTATTTAAAAAAATATATTAATTACATCTTAAAATATTAAAAGTGTTTTATATTTTTTGACATTCAATCTATTAAAAAATATTTTATATTTTTTAATATATGGAATATATATTTAGATATAAGAAAAGTTTAAACAAGTTGGGATTCCAATAATTTATCAGAGTCAAAACTTAAAGTTTGAAAGACCTATAAAAAAAAACACTCACTACCGAAATACATCTCACTAAATAAATAAACTAATCAGAGTATAGTTTAATGAGCATACTCGCAAAATTTATTGTTCTAGAGAATATAACGACTCAAATAAGAATATCCATTATATTAACCTTAACTTTTTATAGAGATCAAAGAGCATGAGAGTACAGGGGAGAAGATAAAGAAAATGAACATGTCAAATTCAATGAGATATTTAAGTATTTAACGTTTTGAAGTTTAGGTTAAAGTTACCACTTAATTATAATTAGTTAATTAATTAATTATACCGTAAGTTCTCTCTAAGTTTTATGATAGAGATAAAACTGACAGCTAAAAGATGTAAGCTAGGTCTCTATTGCTTTCTTGTATAGTCTACTTGTCACAATATGCATAAAATCATAAAAATCAATCTATCATGAGCTTAATAATTAACTAAAGTTAAAACTCATAATTAATTAATGTAAATCTACCGTTCACCAATATACGCTTACAAATTTACCTGCTGATAAGATTTTCACATGAGATATATGAACTCATCATGCTATTATAAGGTATGGATTATATGATTGCTGATCGACCGAGCCAACGTTTTATTGGCAAAGTCGCATGTGTATTTGCTGTTAAATAATATGTATATAATTAGAAGTACAAAAATGCATGCATCCATGCATATATTTAAAAGCCGCGAGCTTTTGCCTCTAATTACAATAATCTGTATCCAAATCGTGTGTTTGATTTTGTGTCTGCCTACCCATCCTCGAACGCCACTTTTCTATATATTTTCGTTTTCATGGCACATGATTTATAAGGAGCAAATC